CCTAACCAGCCTACATGTTTATAGAACACTTTCGCCAAAGTACAAATCCAAAATGTCAGACAGTATGTCGTTCCAGTCGCAGTAGTATCTTGCTCAAAAGACTTCCGAGAATTATGTTACAGGGATCAAAACATCAGACTCTCTGTTTTGGGGGGGTATTTTTTTTTCAGTTTGAAAATTATTTATGGTCGTTACAGAGCAGACTTCAATGTTGAAAAGTTTGTACTTGAAATAAGTCAATGTATTTTTCTTTTTACAGCTTCTCCGGTGGTAACATCCCTGAAATTCAGGGACGGAATCATCACTTGTGACGCAGATGCCAATCCACTCAGACACGTTGAGTATTACATCATTCTAAATGGCACCAAGCCTAGCTCACCTACGGGTAAAACCATGCCATTCAATTTCGAGGACAATTACTGCACTGAGGTCAGCTGTAATATCACAAATGCGATTGGAACTGGGTCACGGAAACTTGAAGAAACCGCTTTGCCCAGGTGAGTTTTCGTCGATTGTAATTAAAGAATTCACATGATGCAATTTAGTTGTATCTTTTAATTAAAAACACTCATAATTTATTTCTTCTGAGCATCTGTATGCTTTTGTGATATTCAATTTCCGCACTCTTTTCACATAAATTAATTTGTCCCGGCTGTAACATCTGAGTTGATGAGACATTCATTCTTTTAACATTTACTTCCATAAAACCTCGCCATTGTCATTCTGTGTCAGAAATTTTCTATAAGTAAAACAAAATATGAGTTTGAGATTGGAATTTTCTTTTGAAATTCATTACTTGATCACAATTCTCACTATACATATTCTCGGTTTACATTTCAAAGGTGTTGGTCGCGTATTGCTTTGGACGACAGAAGGTGTAAGAAATGTTAAGATCAAATAATATTAACTTTTTATATGTTTCTGTTCATGCAGCTCCTGCCACCAGTCTCACCATAGCTGTTGATGGTGTAGACAAATTCTCTGGTGCAATAGTGACCGTGACAGAGTATACTGACGTCACACTTTCCTGCAGAGCCCTGGGAGCTATACCACGGGTGTCCATAGACTGGTTTAACGACGGCAATCCTCTTACACCTGACACCGAAACGATTCCACCTGATGGTGAGGCAACAGATACACAGAGTATATGCAGCCCATTCATCCCAACACGACGTGATGATGGGGGCAGGATAGAATGTCGCACAATAGGACCTCAAACTACACAGTCTGAATTCATTTCCCTCAATGTTCTGTGTAAGTTATTTATATTTATATTGTAATTGCTGTATTACTTGGAATAGCGTTCTAAAAAAGTTGATTAATTTGTATATACATACAAATTGTATGAAAGCACATCTTAACGTTTGGTAAACTAATATCACCTACACAAAGACATCTGAATAAGAGCGAATGAAAATCAATTAAATGTAGTGTATGATTCTGAAGATCTGAACAAAAAGCAAATATTGTTTACACTGATGACTTGTCTACAGTTTTGTGATCACGTATGCCGGAAAAAAGAAACAGACGCTCTACTTATAGTCTATTTTTCTGACTCTACTTCAGACGAAAAAGAGCAATTTACTAAAGTCAGGGAGTTGTCAGGTCATCTGGTTTGTATCCGTTCACGTATGTGTAACTGATTGCAAACAAAATGTGCACTAACTAAATTTGGCGGATTAGGGACGATATTCGAAAAACAAAGTCATTTTCCGTCGGTGGTGGGCCAACAATCATGGAAATTAATACACACAATTCCATTTTCTTGAAAATGACATCATACCAGGTGCCATGATTTTACAGGATGCTTGATATTATTATTCCCTTACGGTCTAGAAAGCATTTCATAATAATTTGGAAGATTTTTGATGTTCGCATATGTTGTACATTACCTTCAACCCAGATGTACATACACAAATCCAAAATGTTAGACGGCATGTTGCTTCAATCGCAGTAGTATCTTGCTCAAAGGCTTTCGAGAAATATGTTACAGAGATCAAGACTTCAGGCTCTCTTTTTTGATCAGTGTGAAAATTATTATTGGCCGTGACAGAGAAGGCTTAAGGTTGAGAAGTTTTAATTAGGCTAATAATATATATTTTTCTTTTACAGTTTCTCCGCTGGTAACATCCCTGACATACAGGGACGGAATCATCACTTGTGACGCAGATGCCAATCCACTCAGACACATCGAATATTACATCATTCTAAATGGCACCAAGCCTAACGCGCCTACTGGTAAAACCCTGGGGTTTAATGTTGATGACAATTACTGCACAGAGGTCAGCTGTAATGTCACAAATACGATTGGAACTGGGTCACAGAAACTTGAAGAACCGCTTTGCCCAGGTGACTGAGTTTTCGTCCAATGCAATAAAGAAATCAAATAATTTAACTTGGTGATTTCTTTAAAAAGTCCTTCCACTAAAAAAATAAAATTCATTTATTCTCGAGCGATCCTACTGTCGACGACAAATAAATGCAATTTTCTATTTCAAGTTTTCTGTCACATTAATTTAAACTGTTTATAATTCATCCAGGCCCTATAATATCAGTTGGAACAATTTATTCCATTTTGAACATTTTTTTTTCAATGAAACTCCCGTCAAAACATTCCTGACAATGCCATTCTTTGTCAAGCAATTTAGTGTACGGCGAAAGATTTAGTTTCAGATTGGAATTTCATTGAGGAATCTCATTATCTAATCAAATATCTCGGTTTACATTTCAAAGGTTTTGCTCGTGTATCGCTACCAACAACAGACGGATTAATTCAAAGCACCAGTACCACAGACTCCTCCAGGAAGCAAGGTAAGTTTTGCAACATTGAAAATGAATTAGATTTAATATATTAAGTGCGCCTTTACAACATGATCATTTACCAGATAACCTTACATATATGAAAACCTTGGCTTTGTGGTTTTTTGTTTCAAAAACTTGACGATGCAGTTATCACTTGATAGAGGCCATTCAGAGAGTCCGCAAGATATAACAAAGGATAACATAGGCCAAAATGTACTGATTGATTACGAAAACTGACATAATAAAGCTCATGTTGTCTTACAGCTTCCTATCCTGTAGGCATCATTATTGGACTTGTATTGGCAGCCTTTGTCATTGTGGGTGTCGCTTGTGGTATTGCTATTGTCATATGGAGACGTCGTCAGAGACCATTGGAAACCGGCGTACAAGATGGCATGTAAGTCAATGTAAAAGGCTACGTTGAGGCAGAGACTAATATTTTCTGTGAAAGTTTGAAACCCTAAGTTGTGATTTTCCGTTACTAGACGTTTTGAAATAGGCTTCATAACACAGCTTTTAAGGTACATTAATTTTCCTTCAATAAACTTATGTCTATTATCGCACCCAGACAGAAGGATAAAAAGTACCAATCTGACAGTTTTTGTTGTAATTAAGAAAAGCTGTTTTTGGAAAACCCAGCATCAACCTACCGGTTTTAAGCATGAACCAATAACAGTTAACTTGATTAAAGTATAACCATCAGCACCTGTAAGACATTGCGATACTTTGTGTTTATTCACTGAAAAGATCAATAAAACCGGAGAGTGTTCTGGCTGGTTTGGACGCTACAGCCCACAGCGAGTAATAAATAGGGCGTTTTCAAGCTCTACAGTGACAAGGGGGTAGAGACCATTTCTGTTCATCATTATTTTTCTTTCAGAAATGACATTGTATCACAAGGAGCAGACAATCACAACTCGCCACTGCCTGCCAGTGATCACCATCATCCGAACGGTAAGCACCAGAGAGTAGATGCTGTAAAAAAGGACAATAATGAACGAAATTGAGAAAATGGGTAGGAAAAAGTCAAATAATTAATGAAAGGGGTCTGACGGTCCTATCTTACCAAGATCTTCTTCAGAGGCAAATTTAAAAAAGATTGTTGAAATAAAAAAAAAACCACTACACCGATGTATTGTGCCATGACGGTTAGTAAATCATGTACTCTTTTTAACTTCCCTTTTTCTGAATTAATCCTGCGTCTTGGTCAGCTTTGACCTAAATCACTTCCCGGACAGTGTATCAATTTTCGAATATATATTAAGACACTTTCTATGTCAAACGGCTTGGAAGTGACACAATGTCAGATCAAATCATCAGGGTCCGGCTCGAATCCGACAGCGACTTTGGATGGTAAACATGTGTATGGGATAATAACATCGAATTATTGTTAGTATGTTCTGCACTGCACTAGATGAGCATTTTCAAGTTGTACTTGCCAGATGTATGTCTCAAATTCAATTTTAAAATTGAGTAAATCTAAAAATGTGTTTCAGACATTCCACTGCACAAAATTGCCACAGCGGAGGTACGCGAGAGTGTTCCCAATGAAGACAGCGTTGAGCCGGAGGCATCAAACGACGTGGAGTACGGCAATGTAGGAAAGGAACTCTCTTTCTCACGAGATCTTCTGGTGATCGAGAATGAGCTGGGACGAGGGCAGTTCGGCAGAGTGCTTTTGGGAAAGGCACTTGGGATCGAGGAAGTCGGAAAAGAAACGAAGGTTGCCGTTAAAACCGTGAAAGGTTTGTTGTCATTTATAGTAATGTCATTCAACAAATCGGGGCTTTGTGCATTGGAGAGATTTTTTGGATGCATACTGTAAAGTGATTTGTCTTGATGACAATCACAGCAACATATTGATTAAACACCTATTGGTCTTTACTTGATCAAATTTGCTTTTTGTCGCTTAAATTTAAATGGTATCTGTATTGCTTTCCCTATTTGTAAGCACCTTCCGCCCTTCTAACTTACATGCTGCCTACAGCTCTTTCCAACTAGTCCAGAGGGACAGTTTCTTGTGAAAGACACGTGTTTGAGTGTTCATGGTGGAGCTCGAAAGCTTAAAAAACAAGTGCACTAAAAGTCGATCGTTGCATATATTCAGTGGCGTAGCCAAGGGGGGGGGGGGGGCGTGGGGGGGGGGGGGCGACCGCCCCCCATGAAACCTTGTCGCCCCCCAGTCGCCCCACCCCACTGAGATTTTGAGTTTCTAAAAAAATTATCATTGATCTAAATCTAAATAGTCGCGAATAATCCACATGATGACCACTGAGAAACGACCCTTCGACCGGCGACCGCGGACCAGTAAGCTGACAACCGGCGTGACATCGCACATAATGATAATCTAAAATGCGTATTAACACCCACTGCACTGCTCGCTCACACCACGGAACACGTATTATAGACAGGTGGTCCGTGGGTCACACAGTTTCAGTCAGCGATATCACGCGAATCGGCCACGCACAAACTTTTTCCTCCATTCATATAAGCTAAATAATAATAATAGACCAATTAAAAATCCTTGAAATCAGTGGCGTAGCCAGGGGGGGGGGGGCGAATTATCATTGATCTACATGACGCCATGGTCGTCAATCCTGGGGGGACAGGGGGATTGGTCCCCCCCACTTTTTGAAGGGTGGGGGACACAATATCAAATGTCCCCCCCCAGATTTTTGAACTCGTGTCTCATTTACAGGGCCCTATTATGTACTACAATGTATCTTTTGCTTAGAAAATATTGGTTAAAGTGGTCAGAAATTGCCTCAGATAGCACCACAGAGCATTTAGAATCCAAATTTTTGGAGGCCCTTAAGAGGGCCCCGAACCCCACGCCTATAGCTCAGAATTCTGGTAGCTGATTCAATGGCTCCAACCTCAAAAACAATGTTCACAAAATTTTCGTATACCTTTAGCTGAGAAAACCTCGAAAATTATGTTTAAATTATTTTTTTTTGTGCTAAGATAATTATTGGTTAAAGTGGTAAGAAATTGCCTCAGATCACACCACAGAGCATCGAGAATCCATTTTTTTTCGGGGCCCTTAAGCGGGCCTCGAACCCCACGCCTATAGCTCAGAATACCGATAGCTGATTCAATGACTTCAACCTCGAAAACGATGTTCAAATAATTATCTTTTGCTAAGAAAATATTAGTTAAAGCATGGAGGAAAGTGGTAAGAAATTGCTTCAGATCACACCACAGAACATCTAGAATCCATTTTTGTTCGGGCCCCGAACCCCCACGCCGTAAGGGCTTCGCGCTTCGCGCCCCCCCCCACTTTTGAGAAGCGATTGACGCCCCTACATGACGCCCCCCATGAAATGTTCCAGCCCCCCCAGCGCCCCCCCCCCACTGAAAAATTCCTGGCTACGCCACTGCATATATTTTATAACCAACAATGTGGATTATCGCAAAGAGTGTCTTGTCTTCATTGACATACTGCTAGTCTATGGTATGAACCGGTATAACCCGGTAGCATGAGTAGGCTGTGTCTTTCCACTGGATCTTCCAGACCTTTGATTGTGTTTGGCTTTGGCCCCTTGGTCCCTGTCATTGGTAAATCGACCCAAAATAGGCCCCTTCTCGACGAAAGGATTCATGTGACGTGAGGCCAAGGCTTCAAGTGGTTGGGACATTCAAGGCTTTCATGTGATGAAGCGGCGATCTGGAAACTTCTCGTTTCTAGGCTTTTAATAACTGTCTAATCGATTTATATACAGAGGGCGCCGACAGACACGCCAAGAAAGAGCTTGTGGCCGAGTTGCAGGTGATGAACACAGTTGGCTCTCATCCAAACGTGGTCAAGCTGCTGGGATATTGTATAGAAAAAGGTATATGAAAAATTTCACCGAAAAGTCCGATTCCATTCTGACTAAATCTGTGGCAGAAGATCATTACAGGCTGACATTTTCACCTCCAGTTTCCATTTGGGTGTTCCCTTTTCCGAGTATTGGAGGGATTACCAATAAGTCTTGTGACCCTGGGCTGGTGATTTGGAAGAGATAAAGAGTACAGCCACCTACACAAAATGAGTTGTGACCGACTTGAGCCACTTATGTGATTTATTCTAGATCCCGTGTACGTGATCGTTGAGTACCTTGCTAAGGGTGACCTGAAGAGTGTTCTGATGGAGTATCGAGACAAGGACCCAGGGACAGGTTACTCCAACCTACCTGGCTTGAGCAAATCACTGTCTAGGACATTGGTCAAGTTTGCATGGGATGTGGCAAATGGAATGGCTTATATATCCTCACTAAAGGTAAAACAAATCAATATATCGATTATTGGTACACATGGTCATTGAAATATCGATTATCAGTATGCCACGGTCACTGCGCACGTGAAATCCAATGCCACACCAATCACGGATGTGATAGTCAAATCAGAAGTCACTACTATACTGGGCGGCACATTATGTGAATCGATCTATTTTTTCTCTACTACGCTTATAGAACCGGTGCACTCGTTAATTATGCTGATCTTGGGTGCATCCAAATTTCGGTGTTGGCAACTGCGTTTATTCTAAGAGGCATAGAGGAGCAACATCCTATCCGTCTATGACCAATGGGTTCTTCGTCGGGCACGATTAGTTATAAGTTTGGAAAGCTTGTATATTAGGTCAAGTATTTCATCTACCACAAAATTCAGGTGGTGGGCTGCGTTACAACTGATAATGTAATAACCAACCGATAATGTAACAACAATTGACCGATACTGGATCACTAACCAATAAAGTTACAAAAAAATGACTAATAATGTAGTAGAAAGTGCTATTCTAATTAACAGTCCATTGTTGTGACATTATCAGTCCTAACCGATAATGTAACAAAAATGTACTGATAGTGTAGTAACATTTACACTGTCGGTCAATTTTTGTTACATTATCGGTTACTAGTGAAACAGTATCAGTCAATTGTTGTTACATTATCGGTTGTAACAGCTTGTCAGGGTAAAAGGCCAAGCGTTCCTGTGCTCGTTACTGGGAGTAAATTCCACCAAAGTCG